TTGGGAGGCTGTAAACAGGTGGATCACTACATAGTGAGACTCTGAACACCCTGTAGACCCTTCCCTAAAATATAATAAATAAACAATCAATAGGAAAGGATCCTTCAAAAACTATCGGGCACCAAAATAAGTTAAATATACCTCTGTGCAGGCAGTGTTTGGGCCCATGGAAAGCTGCTCTTTCATTCCCCTGCATCCTCCAGCCTCCACTTCCATTCGTCTTTTCTCCCGTGTTACTTACTCTGTTTATTTATATATAAGTTCTTCCAGACTACCTTCCTCTTTATTTAGTTGAACACTTTCACCTATATCTCCTTCAAGGATTGTAGGAGAATTGGGGATATATATTTATAAATAAGATTGTAAAACCACAAGCTTAAATGAGTCCTGAATTTTACTGGTTGCTGCTGAAGGCTGCCCGGGCAGCCCCACGACTGCAGCCCCCCCACGCGCAGTGTCCGCCTGCTCCCGCTGCACTCACGCTCTTGCGTAGCTGCACCCCGGGACTTCCTGGTGTCCTCAGCGTAATGTGCGTATCTTACTGCTCCTGTTTGCATGAGTTAAATGTGATTCCTCCCAGGGTTCTCTGTGGTGTTTGTTTGTTTGTTTGTTTGTTTGTTTGTTTGTTTCAGTACCAGGGATTGAACTCAGGACCTCGTGCTTACCAGACAAGCGCTTATTCTGCTGAGCTATCTCCCTGGCCCTCTCCCAGTTTTCTAATACTGACTTAGGTTTTCTCTTTGAAATACCTGTTTGTATCTTTTGTTCATTTTTCTACATATTTTTCTTTTTCTTGCTCATTTTAAGAGTACTTTGTATAGTCTTGATATTAATTCCATGTCTTATACACTAAGAATATTTTCCTAGTCTGTATGTCTTCAAGGAAGAAATATATCGCAGAATCATTTGTCATAGGTTTATATGTGTAACTCTTGGACATGAATAATAAAATAGGTTTGCACCCCTCATTGAATAGAAACTTTGAAGAATGAATGCCATACATTCTTCATTTATCTCTTTGTGGTTTGCAGTTCTTTTGAGACAGGATCTTCCCATGTCTAGCCAAGACTGGCCTTGTAATGACCCTCCTGCCCTAGCTTTCCAAGTGCTGGGGTTACAGACATGAGCTACTACACCCATTCCTAGTTTTTAAGTTTTCTGTCAGCTTCAACCCTATCTCTGAGATCACAGAATGATATTTTATGTTTTATCATACATACTTTTTTTTTTTGGTTGGAACCACGGATTGAACTCAGACCCTTGCACTTGCCAGGCAAGCATTTATTCTACTGAGCCATCTTCTGGGCCCTACTTTTTTACTTTATTTTACTCTCATATTTTAGTTTTTAGCACATTTGGTTTCTTCAGTTTTGGTTTGAGGTTTTTTGTTTTGTTTTGTTTTTTATTTTATTTATTTATTTATTTATTTATTTATTTATTTATTTGAGGTTGTTTTTGATTCTTTTTTGTTTTAGGGGGCTGTTTTGCCAGCAGTAGGGATAGTGATTTGAGGATGCCTCATAAAGAGCTGGTATCCCACATATTGTCTACCAAATAATCTATCCTTTCCCAACTGCTTTGTGATAGCACCATTTTTATTCCAGAGGGCCCTGTTTTTCTGCACTAATACTGTATTATTTTTCTGGCTCTGGCTTTGTAATATGTTTTATTATCTGATGTATCATAACTTACAAATTTTAGAGTCAGTTTGTCATTTCTCCACCAATGTGTCTGGCATTTTAATGGATTTGTATTTTTGCAGATGGTGCATTTTTGTAATGGGAATCTTTTTCTTTTTGTGTATATATCTCTACTCATCTTTATTATTCTCTGAGTGTCCTTGTAAGTCTTGTATATTCTTAGATTAAACTCTAAATGACTCATAGTTTTACTGATATTTAGAATGCTGTTTAATTTTCTACTGTTAAGTGTATAAATTGATTTTGCATGTAGTGGACTTGCTGAATTCTTCCATTAGGCAATCTGCAGATTATTCTAAACATTCTAGCAATTTTTTTTTTAATATTTATTTATTTATTTATTTTGTGTGTGTGTGGCCAGCTCAACCCACCAGGGGGCGGGACTGGCTGGCATGTGGTGCTGGGGGATTGAACCGTGGTCCCTGTGCTTTGTTTAGCTTAGCTTGTTCTAAGTAGGCGCTTTAGACCACTGAGCCATCTCACCAGCCCCCATTCTAGCAATTTTGAGGAATTATTTTTACTATCTCCGATTATTGCCTAATCCATCATGTACATATTACTAAGTCTTTCAGTTATTGTGTTACATATTTTAAAAATATACTGCTTGCCTGTCAGGCTCACTGAGATGCTTGACTGAGACTGGCTGTGGTGGCAAGCACCTGTGATCCCAGCACTTGGGAGGCTAAAAACAGGAGGATCCCTACAAGTCTGATCTGTATAGTGAGACCCTGTAGACCCTGGACTAAATGCATTTAAAAAAAAAATACTAAGATACACATATGATCCTGATATTTATGTTCTTGAAATCCTTTTCCTCTTTTTTCTTTTTTTTTTTAAGGTGAGATCTCATGGAGTTGTACAGGCGGCTGGCCTTGAACTTCCGGTCTTCTTCCTTTAGCCTCCCTTGTAGTTGGGGTTACAGGCAGACGCTACTGTGCCTGGCAAGCCTTTTGTTACTTTTTTTCCTTTTTGCCCTTTTTTTCTCTGTTAATTTCCTTTGTGACAGATACAAAAATTGACTCCCTAGAATTTAGACCTTACTATATCTGTGGACTTTACAAGGGTCTTTTGTGAACAGTATTTTGCTGAATCTCTTGAAAGATTTAAGAATCTCCATCTTCAGTTTAACATATTTATATTTACTATAAGTATACTTACTATATGGTTGTATTATGTACTTATTATAGGTTCATAGTATGGCTAATATGTTAGTATATTTATTATAATTCAGGTTATTATTCTTTTCTGCCATACCATTTTTTTCTTTGCTATTTACCACATTTTTTCTCTCTTTATTGTTTCATTTCCTACTATTAAATGTATTTCCTTAATATTTGTAGAAATTTCATACTTTGTATTTTATTCTTCTAACTTACCAAAATTCAGACTTAATACTGGATTTTTCTTATTTGCAAGTAAGGACATCTGTGCAAGAAACTAGTCTAAGTTTCTAAAATAGGAGAGTTTCATTAGATTATAATTCTGTACAGAAAAGTAAGATCTAAAAAACTAAACACCAAAGCAAGTATAACAAAGGCTGTGTGAATCAGAAGCAAAATGGGTGTTTTTATTGGTGCTTTCTTTACACATGCATAATAATTAGAGAGCTAATTCTTTTTTTTTTTTTTTTTTTTTTATTTGAGAGAGAGAGAGAGAGAG